CCTCCCGTGGCAGCTGACGAAGCTGCTGCTCCCCCAGAGGCGGCTGACGAAGCTGCAGCTCCCCCAGAGGTGACTGACGATGCTGCAGCACCCCTAGTGGCAGCCGACAATGCTTCAGCACCCCTAGAGGCGGTCGAAGAGACTGCAGCACCTCATTCTCGTAAACGGAGGAGGGGTAGGAGGAGGAATGGGTGCACCTCACCACCCCTAGAGGCGGCTGAAGAGGCTGTAGCGCCCCTTGAGGGGACCGATAAGGCTGCAGCACCCCCAGCGGTGCCTTATGAGGCTGCAGTTGCTGCAGTGGCGGCCGAAGAGGCTGCTGTGTCCCGAGAGGTGGTTGATGATGCTGCAGCGCCCCCAGAGGTGGCCGACGACGTTACAGTGCCCCGGTCTCGGAAACGGAGGAGGAGAAAGGCTTCCTCCATCCCACATGGCCTGGAGGCCGTCCAGGAGCCCGCTGCTGGCCTGGAGGCCGTCCCAGACCCTCCCAAGCGCCTTGCCCGGCCGGCCCCTCCCAAGCTCCTTGCCCTGCCGGCGCCGCCCAAGCTCCTTGCCCTGCCGGCTCCGCCCAAGCCCCGCTCTCTGCCAGCTCCACCCTTGAGGCAGGCTCTGCTCTTGCTGCCTGTCAAGCTGCCGGCTCCACCCTGGCCTCCTGCCGGGACTCCAGAAGCGCTAGAGCCTCCTGCCCCTTCCTGGTCCCTTTAATGACTTTCTGGGCTGTACTGCTGGCACTGGCTTGGCTCCCCTCCCTCCCTCCCCTCTTTGTCTCTGTGTTTAGATTTTTCCTGTCTTGTGTTTTCTGTTGTGTATCGGTCTTGTGTTAGTTATCTCATTAGCTGTGTGTTTTGTTTTGTGTGAGCACATGGCTTTTGTATTTGTTTCCTGTGTGCCATGTGCTCTCATGTCAATTGCCTTGACCCCACCTATCTTGTTACCTGATTATTGGTTAATTTACCCCACATGTGTTCCCTCGTTACCCTCCTCATTTGCTCTCCATTTATTCTCCTTGTGTTTGCAGTCCCGGGCCAGTTCGTCATTGTATCTCCCTGGATGTGTCCCGTCGCGTCGTGTCCAGATCCTGCCTTGCCTAGCCTTGCCAGCCTGTTTTCCCCCACGGGGTAGTTTTTGTTGTTTATTTTGTTTTATTTTAATAAAAAGCCCTTATCTCCTGCACAATTGAGTCCTTGCCTCATCCCTTCATCCCCAACCCTTACAGTTTTAACAATAATTTATTGTAAACACAGTACATTTCCAAAAACATTACTTTGGAGGACAAAGGGATAAAAGTCCCTTTCTTCTCTTTTCTCCTAATTGTTTCCTTTTTTCTCTTTTTTTCCTTCAGAAACCTTCCAATCGGTTAGCGCGTTCGGCTGTTAACCGAAAGGTTGGTGGTTTGAGCCCACCCAGGGACAAAAATGGCTTTTGCATTTAATTAAAAATTCAAGATTAATTTTGGAAGCCCAAGTCTGTCAATGCTGTAAACAGCGATTATGTTTATTGATCAGGGGAAGTGATCATAATTAAATAAACATGCAAATCATATAAACCCAAATATATATAAAAAGAATGAATGAGAGAAAATATTTGTTTACAGCAAATTTACATTATGTCACTGACTGTTATTTTACTTTGGATATATATATATATAAAAAAAACACTTGTCCCAAACACACAGAGAAAAGAGAGAGACGGTCAGTTTCCTGCAGCTAATGTATAGAAAATGATAATGCCATCTTCAAGAATCAGTTTAAAACGCATCTCTTCCATCTTTATTTGACCCTCTAACTTCTAGAACTCTCTATTCTAATTCTATTCTTAAAAAAAAAACACTTGTCCCTTTTAGACTTGCACTCTATTAATTTGCTGCTTGTTTTCTTTATAAAAAAAAACTAATACTAGCTTTCTAATCTTTGTATTCTATCGGTTTTCTTTTCATTTATTATACCTTTTAACAAAAGCAAAAAAAGACCTCTAACACTAGCTCGCTGTCACAGATCGGCCAGGCTCAACCACCTCCCAATCACAGCGAACACCATCACCTGAGTACTAATCACACGCACCTGTCACGGATCAGCAATCACCCTCAGTTCCCATACAAAAGCACACACCTCACATCACTCCAGTGTCCGATCTCGTTCGTTCGAAGTGCTCGCTCTATCTTTTTTTATTCTATCCGTTTACTTTTTATTTATTATATTATTTTAAAAACCCTTGCTATGTGTACTGAGTTAAGCTAACTGAGACTTGTTATAGCACTTGTATATCGTTGCTCTTTTGTTGATTTTGATTGCTTCCATTGTCCTCATTTGTAAGTCGTTTTGGATAAGCGTCTGCTAAATGACTAAATGTAAATGTATCTGCATCTAGTAAACAACATTGCTTGGGTGATGCTCACAAAGATGGATGCAGCAGAATAACAAAACAAAAAAACTGTAATAATAATAAACAGCTAACCATATTAAATGGAAATATTTCAGAATCTTCTGGAGCCAATATAACATTCAATGCTAATTAATTGGTAATTATAATCCAGAAATATAACTTTTTATGAAAATAAACAGTCAAAAGTTCAAAAGAGAAAGCACGATCTACTAAATATTAGCACTCTGTGATATGTTTCTGTCAACAATGTTTTCTCGCGTCACTAGTTTTAAATATGCAATTTTGCTGGCTAACCAATGCAGAAATGCGACCAGCTGTATATAAACTAATGTAAATAGATGGTAGCAATCATGACATTAAACATTTGTGTCGGACTTGCGTATGTTTTTGTCACATTGGTCTAATGCTTGAGATGCTTCTAATGTTCGCGTCCTCTCGGCCTTGACCTACTGCTCTCCTCCACCAATGCAACATCTAGTCAACAACTTTATAATCATATGTATACATATAATGTAGTGTACTGTATACATGCCGTTTCGTTGTCTATATTTTAAAGGCTCATCTGAAGTTTCCAGCTCCATGCGGCGCTTAGCCTCACGTGTCAAAACAAAAAAACACGAGTACTTAATTGATTGTTGTGCTGGGCGATATGACGGCATATATCTTGACGATCTTGACGATGATATAACGGGTCTGTCGTTAGAGATTTAGCTTTATCGTTTATTTCTCTGTATGTATCAGTAATAGGCCTCATTCACGAGTTATGAATGAATGAAACGCCTTTGTCCGGGTTCACTCTGTCTCGAATCGCGCTCACGGAAAGCGCTTGAGAAACGGTGTCTCTTCCGCGGCTCGGTACGGTTTAAACTCGTTTTTTTACATGATTTGACTGATTTTTACGTAGAAAGGGCGACAGCGCACCGCATTAAAAGAAATGAACATTCATGCTTTCATAACCGCTGGCCAAATTCAGAAACTAAACAAAAATTAAGTCATCTTTGAGAACAAAGGGGCCCCCTGGTGTTTCAGGGGCCCTATGCAGCTTGCATAATTTGCGTATAGGGAGGATCGGCTCTGGGTCCGTGCATTCAATGTGAATTAACTCGCTGGTGTCTGTCATTAATGTTAATTATACAACAAAACAAAGGTAAAAACACTCACTGCCGAATCACTTTTGTATGTTTAAAAAGAAACAGTTCATATCTGAGACAGTGAAGACTATGCAGTGTTTTAATTTTAAACTTTATGCAATTTCTGTAGTATTTGCTTAGTTATTACATGATAAACTGAAAAACGTATTTAATCTTTGTTCTACTGTATTTGTCCTATTGTTTGTAATTTACTTATTTATTCTCATTGTAATAAAAATAAAATAACAAAAATAACTATACTGAGATATATATTGTTATTGTGAAATAATTTTGAAAAATATTGTGAAATTTCTGAAATCCTGAAATTATATTTTGGTCATATCGCCCACCCTTAATTGGTCATATATTTGAGTGTCTCTTTTTAACAATCACTAATGATAACCTAACATTACGTACATTCATTTATTTATTTTAAAGAAGAATTTAGCATGAAATCCATGTTTTTCCATGTTATGTGTAGATGAGCACTAAGCTAAAGAGCCACAAGGTCATGGGAGATGGCGAGTGGATGGCCAGGTTGAGAGCAGTGATATGACCTCTACCAGAAGGTAAAGCAAAGTTACCTCTCATTATATAGTACTGTATGTAGTATGCAGGTCACCTGACAATGGTGCAAACAATATAAATAAACAATGATTCTTATGTTTTCAGATTGAGAAATGCCCCATGCAGGCACGTGAACAGACCACCCTCTTTGGAGGCTCCTTGGCCTACAATTGTTGATTACACACCAATAAGGTAATCTATTTGAAAATGACATTTAATGTAGCATCACATGTCTGTTAAAATGCTGCTTCACTATATTTTATGCCCTTTGGTGACTGTTTTAGCAGCCTGCCACTGCCACTAAGTGTCCTGTTGCTTCAGACACGGCTCCTGGCGAAACTACTGCATCTGCCCCACACTCATTTCTGTAGTTTGTCTATGGTGAATATTTTCTTTAATGCCTACTTAGAATCATTTTGTATTTGTTTGATAGGAGCATAAGTAAAATAAAAGTAAAGTAAAATCAAATCAAAGTAAAATAAAATAATGAAATGAAAATACTGTATGTAACTTCCATCATGCAATTAACTTTGTTTCTCTTTTTAGTTCACTAAGTCACGCTTTGGCGGGTCCAAGTCGACTTCGCTAAAACCCAACTTAGTGGATCGGAGGACCCCCAGCCCCTCTCCTCCACGCTCTGCATCCTCTCCTTCTCTTCCTAGCCCCTCTCCCCCTTCCTGAGAGGACTCCATCTATGCCTCTGTGAGGAAACCCACCCCAGACACCAACACTTGACCGGTTCTTCACCCATCGGTTGATGGTGTGGATGCCCTACCACCTGTGAAAGCTGAGGGTTTTCTGTCCAGCTTATGGCAAGAACCTGACAGGCTACGGTGTCCATGAGAGCTCGGAAGGTCCTGGACATCGACATATATTATCTGATGGTGACAGAGACACTCAGGTGCACTGTGTGTTTGTTTAACTGTCTGCCCGGGACCGGCTTGACCTCCCTCTCCAGAAAATGTTCCGGCTGATCCTGACCCGCAAGTGAGTAAAACAGTGATTGTGAACCGCCAGGGGTCGTTGTATACACAATTCTTGAAATTATTATTTTTAGTCATCAACTATGTTTTTGTCCTGTTGTTTTATGTTTAATAGACAATAATGAGCAATAATAATTCACCGCACTGTCTAGGATATATAATGCAATGACAAATTCATGGGCACAGTTTCACCTAATTACTTAATTTGTTTAGTTAGATCATTTACAATTTGAATAAGAGAACAACACCCAAAAACCTGGGGTAATCATAAAAATTGTTTTATTCGTTACATCATATATATATATATATATATATATATATATATAGATTTCTTGATTGTAATGGGAGCAGTAGATGTTGTATTGCAGTTTTCACATCTATATAGAGGGT